AGATGCTAGACATGGATAATTGTAACAAATATATATATTTTCCATGTCTAGAATTTAATAACTGGGGGGCTGTCTTAAATTTGAAGTCATCTTGGATTTGGGTAAATATGGTCATTGATATGTTAAGTATTTTAAGAAAAAAAATTATCTGCACAGAATCTCAGCATTTGCGTTAAAAGGTTTATTTAGCTAACAGCAAACTCTGTTTTGTATTTACCCATTTACTTTTTTTCAGAATTACTGCTTGACAAATGTACTTGTATCCAATTTCTAAAATGAAAATAATGTTGAACAAGTCTGAACTAGAATATTGGCAGGAAAGAGTAAAAGGATGAAGGACAGAAAAATTCTCTCCTGATAATATGAAATACTTTTAGAATTCAGCATAACACAAGACAATTCAGACTAAAAATCTCTTTACCATTTAGACTGAGAATTCTAGTTGGAATACAGAACTTTAATATGGCTTAATAACTGGTTTCATTATTACTCTTTTGTACTTAAAAGTACTTTTGGGGGTAGTGTTAAAGACTGCACCACATCACCCAACTAACTAGTTTTTTATCCTAACTTTTAAATATAACCAACTAGCCATATCAACTCTTTGGTACCATTTTGAAAATATCATTTAAAAATATATCCTTGTTTGACATTTTAAATGTTGGCTTAGAACAGGGGCCAACAATTATTTTGGGCAGAGGGCCGCTTACTGAGTTGTGGCAAGTCATTGAAGGCTGCATGACAGGCAGCCCAGGGGAGATAAATATTAATTTTCTAAATTTTTTAGGGGCCCCACGGGCTGGATAGAATGGCCTGGTGGGCCGCATCCGGCCCCCGGGCCGCATTTTGCCCACCCCTGGCTTAGAAGAAATTGTTTGACACTTTAAATGTTGGCTTAAAAGCCAAATGAAGAGATCAATTTATCATCTAGGTTACTCAAAAACCAAAAGCAGTCCACATACAGAATAATTTCTCCAAAACTACCCCAGTTACATGAGAACAAGTTTTATAATATACACCAATTACTGTAAAGTTTTTAGAGATGCTATTAATATAGTAATTTTTAGTGTTTAGCCTAAAACTCAACGAAAGTCCTGAAATCTGTGGTGCTCTTCCTAAAGGAATAGCCCATTAGAGACTAATTCCAAATTGGAAAATTTGACATCTGATCTTTTCAGAAGTCTATCAAATTTCCCCTTACCAACAAACACTGAGTAAATATCATACTTATGTGTTATTAACTTTCATTAAAGAAGTCACTTGTAGGTTACCAAACTGTCAACCTAAATTTATAAAATTTTTTTTTACATAAAATAATCAGTATAGATCCAGGTGTCCAATTTGGGGAAAATTAAGATACATCACCAGGTTTCTTGGTTGAAGTGAAAAAGGCATACTTCAAGGACTGATAGCCACATTCAACTCATGGCTGGACCCCTTGTCAGGTAGGAGGGATAACTGAGATGGTTGGCCAATGGACATAAAGCATATTTTCCTAAATGATATGGATTCATCTGTATGCCACGCTTTTAATTTTCTTTCAACAAAGTACACTCCAATGAATTTTATTCCGACTGAATTTGCTTTGTAACAAAAAAAATTGAACCAATCCAATTGTGTTTTTCTGACAGGCTATAAGGAAAAAAGTCAGAGGGAGGATAAATAAGCAGGAAAAAACTAACACAGCATACTGACACAGGGTTAAACTAAGCATGCACTGAAAAGCCTCTGACCCTGGTGGAGACATATTAAGAACATAAAACTCTATAGGCAGTTTTCTTCTGTGCAGGGTAGCGTGGGATAAGCAGTTTCTTAGTCTCCACTGGTCATTCTTTAAGTTTCGCTCATGGGTTTATTCTTGCGACTCAGGTGTTGGCAACATTTTACAGGAAGGGCTGCTTTAACAGGGCATAGCCCAAGCACAGGTCACTTCCGAACCGAGCCCAAGGTGCCAGAATCGCTGCTCTTCCCCCTCCTTCCCAACAATGCCACTGCTGCATTAAAGGTCCAACATCTTATATGCAAGCAACAAACTTTGCTCTCTAAATTACTCACCTGTGCCTTTCAAAAACTCAAATTTGGATGAGGATTCTGGTTGGAGTTCCTCTAGCAGGCTAGAGAAGGTAGCTGGCTTTGAAGGCCATATTTTGACAGCTTCCCCTGTCCACAAAGAATCCCTGTCCACTTCCTCCCATACTTCCAAGGCTAGCAATCACACAGAATAAAGAGCTTGGAGGTGTCCTGCATACATACCCCAGACACTATCAGAGTTACATTAAGGGACAAAGCTACTCAGTCTATTTGTTAGCTCGGGCATACACCAAGTGCAAAGAAGCTTTTTCCAGGCCAGGATTCCAGGCTTGGCTGCAAATCTGTATAGAACAGGGGTGGCCAATCCATGACTCACAGGTGGCCAACTCATGGCAAGTGTGGCACATGTGACACAGAGCCTCTGTGTCAGGCATGCAGCAGATTGGGCAGGGAGCACAGCAGCAGGGAACAGAAAGCAGAGCAGCAGATCAGGTAGAAGGAGATCAAAGTGGCCCCCAAGGAGGCTGCGAGGCTTAACTTGCGGCATGCCTGCCCAAAAGGTTGTCCCCCACTGATATAGTCACAGCCATAACAGTGTCAATTTACTCAGAACACTGAGCAGAGAGAATTTATTTGATGTTACAGGAAACCTAGGTTTACAAAGAAGTTTTTGGATGGAGAAGAGACTATTGACATTGCTTTTAAAGCAAACAAGAAGAGGAAATGCTTTACAAAAGGGGTTGGAGTCAGTTATATAGCTTTTCTAAGCTCCAAGTAACTCCTTCTGAAGTCTTTTAAATATAGGTGGCAGGGGAAAATATTATTTGGGGGGGGAACTGAGTAAAATTGCCTGCCTGGCCCCCGCCTTTCCCTCCCGCAGGACTGTTGCATGCTGGTGCTGTATGCAGCAGCAGATGAGTGTGCAGCAGGGGCGCTGGGCACAGCGCTGTGGTGGGGTGTGGCAGTGACGGTGAAGCAGTGAAGCTGCGCCAGGCTGAGTGTGTGTGGGGTGCTGGCCTGGCTGCATGCTGAGTAGTGCTGGGCAATGCAGGACAGTGGCACCATGGTGCTGCTGGCATTGCCAGCCGCTGTGAAATTGGTTTGGGGGAGCTAAGCCCCATTAGCCCCGGCCTTCCACCGCCTATGTCTTTAAAGCTGCCCCAACTGTCTGTTTTGGGTAGCCAGACCACTGAGAAGGAAGTGAGCAATGATGCACACGGACCAGAGAGGGAGGCCTGGATGAGAAAGCCGGAGGGATGCTGAAATGCAAACAAGGTCCTTTCCTGTGGGACTGAAAGGAATTTAAGGAACACTGCCTGGCACAAGCCCAAAGAAGAAAGGGGCACTCTTCTGCCTATTACAGGTCAAAGGCTTCTTCTCTGCAGGGAATAGCTGTTTTACCATTTTTCTGTATTTTAATGTCCTTATCCCTACACCAAGGAAATGGGGAAGGAGCGTGCTGGAGCAGCTGTCCAGTCTCATCTCCCTCCCAGATACCACACAGCTCAAATCAGTTTACAAAATTCTGAGCATTCCACGAGTGAAGTCCAGAGCATACTAGAATGAGCTGTGCCAAAGATCATGAGCATTTCACTAATAAACCATGTACATCATGCGCCCGATCCCCAGAGTGGTATCTGGCAAACTCATCGTATAGCCAATGATGCTGATCACACTGGCTCGGTGATGCCCACTGACAAGGAATTCCTATGCTCAAACATT